TGTGCCCTTAAGTCAGCCATCTATTCGTGTACTCTTAAGCTGTTCTCTTGAGATCATGTTCCTTGTGTATGCGTTATTATATCTAAGTAGATGTTGCCTTGTTTTTGCTCCTTCCTTTCTCAAGGTACTCGGGGGAGAAATCCTTTTGACACTGTCCCATTTTCCTTATGATAAAGGTACTCTAACCACCTGGGCCTTTGTTGACTTACTTACTTTAAATTTCTACTTTTGCCTTAATTTAGTATCGTTAGATGTCGAAGAGGAAGTGACGCTATTTAGTTAATGGCCAGGTGGATGGCTTCTTTTGTAGATATGTTATTTTTTGGATGACTTCTTTGACGCCTTCCTGCTCATTTGAGACGAGTGCTAAAAACACATCATAAAACTCCCGATTATTCCCATACCTCTGACTTAGAAATAGTTTTGCTTTGCCTGGCTGTTTCTGGAATGCTCCTAAGGCATCTGAAGTCATGTTTTTGTCAAGCCAAATCTTTCGCATGTAACAGAAACTGAACCGGCGTCCCTCTGAGTGGTCCATCAACGTTAAATCATCCGGATAAAAGCAGTTCTTTGATGAGTACACACTTGCCTTTGACTTCTTTTCAGTATTAAGTCAGCCATCTATTCGTAGGTTCTAAAGCTGATATCTGTCGAGATCAAGTTCCTTGTGCTGGTGGTTTTGTTTATGAGTAGAGTTCAGCTTGTTTCTCCTCCTCCCTTTGTTAAGGTGCCCCAGGGAGGAGTACTTCATTTTCTGCTCGGTCGCATCACACTTGAAGTTCGGCATCTATCATAGTGGACCTTTCAGCTCAGTTCAGCTGTCCGCCCGCACAGCTTCTCTTGTAGTGTCAATGGGACTAGCCACGTTTTTTGTCTCAGGGCCCTGTGTGTCTTGCAGTGATGAAGGATGTGTTCCACAGTTTGGTCTGCCTCTCCATACTGGCATTTTGGTGATTGTACTAGTTTAAAACATCTGTACTTGTGTTCGTTCAGTCTTGTGTGTTGTGTTCTTAGTTTAAAGGTAATCACTTGGTCTTGGCGTGACAGCTCATGGTAGATATCTGGTGTCTGTGGTGCTTTAAATAGTGCATTTATAAGAGTCTTTATTCTTACGTAGTTGATGCTGTTGTCTGATTGCTCTTTCTGTGTGCCTAGTTTGGCCTTCCTGTCTGCCTGTTAATTTCCTAACACACCACAGTGCGATGCAATCCTCTGCAGCATGATCCTCAGGTATGGGAAACTCTCCATTACTTCAGACAGCTTTTGGAGTTTGTCGGCAGTGATTGCCTGCAGTACTGACATGGCATCTGGTAGGAATCCTACCACATCCCTGATGATGTTTGCTGCATGTATAGGAGCCTCCGTCTCTGCCTGTAATTTGTACAATGCCGCCCAGTTGGAAATGCCTCTTCTCATGGCAGCAGTGGTTGTTCAGTCAGTATAGATCCTTATCCAAGCTATGCATGGGCATCTTTCTTCGAGCATGGGCAGGGTCAGAGTTTGCTTGCTCAGGTCTCTGTGGTCCTCTTTTGAGGTGAACATAGGGATGGAAGTGTGAATAATCTAATGTGTGCTTTAATTTCCCACGTTGCTGCCTCTGGAGATGGTTCAGTATGTCCACTGCGGCTGGTAGATGGTCTTGTAATGATCTCTGTATTCTTCTGCTTTCCTTTATAAAGTTGGCTCTCCGTGTGAGTATTAACTGATCTTCCTTAGCTCTCGCCTTTTTGTATTGTACCTGGACCACTACAGATGTCGTCTGTACTATATTTTCTGCAGGCGTTAACCTAATTACTCCAATGACTATTCGGAGAGCCTGGTTTTGCACTCTCTCCAGAGTGTAGTGTGAGTCTGTACTGCAGTCATCCATGCCTGTTTGCGCCCAGATAGACCTGTCTAAGTGTTTTCTCACTTGCTCCCGACTAAGTATCTGCAAAATGTCTCATGATGTCAAGCTTCTTCCTGGCTTTAGTTTATGTACTATGAGTGTGTTGTTTCCATGTAAGACACTTGTCAAAGATTATTCCAAGATACTTCTGTTGGTTCTCAAACTTTGAGGGGGAAGGGCTTTTGGTACTGTCTCATCTTCTTTATGGCAAAGGTGTTTTAAACACCTGATCTTTTGAGGTGATTTATGCATGTTTACTTTTTACTTTTTCCATTCTTTTGTACCGTTAGATGTCAGGGAAAGGGGGGGGGGGATTTTATGTAAACCAAAGTTTATGTAGGTGACTTCGGTCGTAGACATTATGTTATTCTGTTAGAGGATCTCTTTGATGCCTTCCAGCCAATTTGAGACGCCCATACCTCTGCGTTAGAAAGCTGGTTGTCGTACCTTGCTGTTTCAAGAATCCTTATAAGGCATCTGAAGTCATTGTTATTGTTAAGCTAAGCTAAATCTTTTGCATATAACTGAACATAAAAAGGCGTTCTTCAAACTTGGCGGTTTTCTCTTTCTGAGTCAACTATCACAATTATATCACCCTCATAAAAGTAGTCGTTTAATAAGATAAGATAAGATAAGATAAGATACATCTTTATTGTCCAGATCCTGGCACATTGGTTTGGTGTTCCACCACGAGTACACACACACACACACACACACGCACGCACACACACACACACACACACACACACACACACACACACACACAAATACACACACACACACACGTACACACGTGCACGCACATGCACACACAAGTAGGCTTACAATCACATACATAATATAAATGAGCAGCAATATAAACAATAATAATCGTAAGCTAGATACACACTCAATGTTATTTTGATGCATGCTCTAAGGTCGTAAGTACACTTAACAAGATAGATGGTTAAGATGGAAGCATTTTGATAGATGATGGTAAAAATGACCTTCTGTATCTTTCTTTGTTACAGATCAGAAGCATGGGTCTTTTACTTCTGACTGATGTTTTTATTTGAGGGAACAAGGGATGTTTGTTGTCTAAAAAGATGGAATTAATTTTCTTAGTGCAAGCTGTTATGTACAATCCATCCAAGTAGGGGAATGAAGATGTTGAAATTTTACATGCTTTCCGTATTAGTCGATTTAATTTTTCTTCATCTTGTTGTCTTGTGTTCCCGGCCCATGCTGTTATACAAAAATTGATAATACTTTCTATGGTTGAATGGTAGAACATGGACATCAATGTTTTATCAACTTTAAAATACTTTAGCTTTCTAAGAAAAAATAGTCTTTTGTTCACTTTTTTATGCAGGAGAGAAGTGTGGACACGCCAGTTGAGTTTGTTGTCTATTGTAACACCCAAATACTTATAGTCTGACACTTGATCGATGTTTTCACATTTCATTTTGAGTGGCATAATGAGTACACGTCTGGCCTATATATATATATATATATATTATATTATATCTTAGAGAGATAGAGAGATAGATAAAAGGCAGGGAGAGAGAGGAGCAAAAAACTATGAAAAATAAAATGAAATAAACAGTAGGAAAACAGAACTTCGTCTATGCCTGCCCTTCATGTAGTCGTCAACAAAAAAACAAACAACGTGTGAGGTGAACCGGTTAGGCGCTTCGCTGTCACACGCAAGAGATCTGAGATCGAGTCCCATGTGGGGAGAAAATTTTTATCGAGTATTTCGATTTTTTCTGCTGAGATGTTGTATCCCTCTCAGCTCGAGCTGAACCCTGGCTGGCAAGGTCGAAATCCTGCAACTTAAATGATTCAAATTGTGTCGATGGGAGCGTAAAAAACCCAGCTACATTTAAAAAAACAAGCAGTCAATCATTGCGTAACTCAAAACCCCAGACATAAAACTTGAATTTCTACAAAAGCAATTAAATTGTCTAGAAATAAGACGACGAAGCCTTGTTATCTTGTGGGTCCACCAATTTGTTCAATAATATCAGTAAGGTCAACCGAGAAAGTACACTCTTGTAAACAGCAGACACTTTGGAACGAGATCCAAAAATAATGGCCAATAAAGGGAGTCAAACCATTATCTTAAATCAGTGGGTGGGCTAGCTGGTGGAATTTTACCGTATTTTATACTTCCGTGTTCCACTTCCGTCACAAAAAGAAGGCCAGCAAATTAACACTGCTGTCTATATTACAAAGAGTAAAATGCGTAAGTCATGGGCTGACAAGACATTGGAATTAAAAAAAATAATACAAAAGGAACAAACTGATATTCAAATGGAATGTGGACAGAAGTAGTCCAGAGGAGGGGGGGGTTACGTGAAAAGTACATTAACAATACAATTCGATTACCTGACAAACAATAGATAGATAGATAGATAGATAGATAGATAGATAGATAGATAGATAGATAGATAAAAACACATTCTTACCATTTTCCACACTAGCTCGTGTGGGTTTCCCTTACTGGGTCTCTTTTTCCTTTTCGTTCAATCTGAGACCATTTAGAATATTATCCTAGAAAAAAACACAGCAATCCATATCACTACAGAAAACACTGTACCGTCCAATATTATGTCGCCAGTTGGAGCTATGCTTATCCATGAATTCGCTTCATTTTATTGCCCCTGTCGGCCAAATCCATCTCCACATTTTATGGGTAGGCTCACATCAGTGCATGAGTATTATCCGCCAAGCTAACTCGAAGTGGTTCTATCCTCGAAATCAGCCATCGTTGTGAGGAATGTAAACACTGCGTGGTGAAAAATAACTCCTATAATTGAAACCTCTTTTGAAAAGCAGTTCAGGTTTGTCAGAGGTCAGCACCCTACCATGTAGGTCATCTCAATGGACAAGCACTTTGTCCCCCGTCATAGCCAATGATTATACGGTCCTGGTCATAGCTGAGCAGAGTAGTGTTCTAATAAAAGGACATGAACATTTAGCCCCCACTAGGATTCAAACCCTAGTGCTCCGTGTACTGCACTCGATCTCAACGCGTTGTTCACCTAATTTCATTGCGTTCACACCTTTGGTTCATAATCTCAACGCGTTGGGGTTTACTTAGAAATTTACTTCAAAGGGTCTACACAACTTTTTTTTTTCTTTTTTTTTTTTTTTTTTACAGAAAGTTGAAGCAGATTCGAGCACACGTCCGAGTATCAAATAAATTGTCTGACGTAGGTTTTAAGTTTGGTTATATTTTCATTAAGTCTCCTCTGGGTTAAAGGCTTATATTATAGCTCTAAATCTAAATGATAGAACTGTATTCACTTCGGTACAACAACTGTACAATAGAAATTTGTTCACTTCGGTTTAATTGCGTCGTAATGTGGGAGTGTGTGTGTGTGGGGGGGGGGGGGGGAGGGGGAGAACCTTGGTCAAGGAGAAAGACCCTAAGCAAGCCACACTTATAAAGACCTTTACCTATTTCCGAACCAGGATCGCCCGCCACAAATGCAATCGGGATAATAACTCCGCTAGTTGTGGAGAGAGACTCTGCACATTTTGTGGACTGACCTGTTGTCATTGATGCTGCTGTTGTTGTTCCTACAGTTGACTATTAAGGAGAGGGAATCAACCAATTAACAAAATATATTTACAATGAAATATATACATATTATAAGTATAAAAGAATTTATACCCTACTTATTTATAATGACGCTATGATAAGGTGGGCATGCGACTGAATGATATTAGCAGACTTCTGTTTCAGTAGGTAGTCGGCAGGCGATGAATTCCATTGTCTCAAGAATCAAACGTTGTTTTCATATGTAATTATGATAGAGCAGATATTGTTGTTGTTGTTGTTGTTATTATTGTTGTTGTTGCCTCAGCTGCTGTCGTTATTTAGTTTTGTTTACGTACCTCCAGCTAAAGTGAACATCACAAACAATAACCTCCTTGATTTTGATTTGCTTGTCTTTGTTTTGCCGTCATGATGATAAACAAAAGAAAAAAAGTACAGATGATGTGAAAAATATTTTTTCAAGAGGAAAAAAAAACACTGTCCAGCAATAGAAAAAGAAACAGCACAGATTAAGATCGCTCGTCAACGCACATTTCACATTTCACGCGTTTTTTTTTCAATGAATTTCACAACGTCAAAACCCAAATACTTCAATATTCCGAATTCTGCATCCCACCATGAAGCGTTACTATCTTCCACCAAAAAATAACCACAGAAGAAATAGTTGGAATATAAACACAGGAAAATGATACCTTGCAGATGAGTGAACGATTGTCCTATTATCTAACTCAAGGTCGTAGAAAGAAGAACACGGTAGACCCCGGTATGACGGTCTCGCTCTTCGTTAGCTTTTGTGAATGATTTAGGAAGCGTAAATCACGATTGCGAGTCCCTCTGTTTATCTTTTCACAGCCCCGCCTCCGTCTCGATAAGCGCGTGCTTTGAGCATCGCACGTGCGCGCAGGGGGTGGGGGAGAGAGAAGGGATGAGTTGGCTGAGGGGGGGGGGGCTATCGGTCACAACCGCTCGCGCGATGCCACTAACGCCGTTTGGGAAACTGGGGGTCAAACTATGATTGGGGAAGGCGCGTGCTGGTTAAATTATATCTGGTGTGAGACTTAAAAGGTGGGAGAAAGAAGGGGGGGTGGAGAAGAGAGACGGAGAGAGAAAAAGGGAGAGGGAGACAGAGGGAGAGAGGGAGGGGGAGAGAGAGGGACACAGAGAGAGAGAGAGAGAGAGAGAGAGAGAGAGAGAGAGAGAAAGGGGGAAGGATAGAGAAAGAGAGGGGTGAGAAAGAGAGAGTGGGGTAGAGAGAGAGTTGTTGACGGGGAGATGGAGAGGGGTGGAGATAGAGAGAGAGAGAG